GCGTGCAGTAGGTCACCATAGATGCCAGCGACTTGACGGACAGATGGCGCACGCTGTCCATGTAGTGCGTGAGGTGCGCGCGCGTGAAGCCCAGCAGGATATCCACGAGCTCGAGGCCTAGCTGCGGGTCGGCGATCTTGTCCAGTTTCTTGCTGGTCATCTCCACGGCACGCGCCACGCCTAGCACGATGATGCACTCGGAGGAGCCCCTGGTATCGTAGAAAGTTTTTTTTTATTATACACAACAAAATCAAAATCATCTTTATTTGTATAGACTTCATTGAATAGGTTTTACGCTCATAAGGAGTCTTCACTGGTCTCATTCTTTTTTTGTCTTACTAGCAACAAAAGAACGTAAAGGCTCAAAACAAAAAACTGACTAATGGATTTAAGATCGAAAAGGCACATTTATGGCCGTTTCCACCATCAATCCCTAATTTTTAAGTGACCCCTATGGTAACACATAACTGGAATTTTGTTTACATAGGCGTCACTTAAAAATAAGGGATTGATGGTGAAAACGGGCATTAGCGCCCGCGCAGTGTCGCTCAGCGTTGCTAATGCTGAGCGCTGGCGAGATAACAACATTACAACGTTAACCACGTCCAAAAGATGCCAGTGTGGGAAGAGGCCTTACATTTTAAAGAGTTAGTGAGTTGCCACACTGGCGGATTGCAAGCGATTTCAAAGAAGCGGCTTACGCGGCTGCGCAGCGAACACGAGGCGAAAACTCTAGGCAGAAACATTGCGCATCCGCCACTCCACTTTGAAACAGCTTGCAATCCGCCAGTGTGGCAAGGCCCTTAATATTACAAATGCCATTACTTTTCCCCAATAGCAATGACTCTTTCGGCGAGCGTCAGTATGGGCTCCTCGTCGTCGGCCGGCGCCAGCAGCCGCTCGGTGTTGGTCAGGATGATGGCAGCCGTGAGTAGCGCTAGCCGAGCCGACTCATTCTCCAACACGTCGCTTAGGTAGTCGTCGCCTTGGGGCGGGTACAGTATCTGGAGTTTGATTCAAAGTCAATTCACGAAACTTGAATTTTAATATCTATAGCCCGGTCTGTGAGCACGTAGAATTTTGTCCAATGACCCCAAGCTACCCAACTTTAGCGCTCGCGCGTGATTATATTGCTGTCGCGACTGTGCGACGGGCGCCCGCAGTGAGTATGCGAGCGCGACAGCAATATAATTAAGCGAGCGATAAGGATAGCTTGGGGTCATTGGACAAAATTCTACGTGCTCGCAGACCAGACTATATCTTCTATCTAAATATGTATAACTCAAAGCTGACTGATTGACTGACATAGTGATCTATCAACGCACAGCCCAAACCACTGGACGAATTGGGCTGAAAGGCATGCAGGTAAATGTTATGACGTAGCAATCCAACACGCAACTCCACCCCTAAGGGAGTAAAACGGGATCCAGGCGTACGAAGTCGCGGGCGGCCACTAGTATATCTACAAAAGCGAAAGGTTGACTGACTCACACACTCTTAACGAAATCTTAGAAACTATAAGTGCTAGGAGTCTCAAATTTTGCATGGGGGTTTCCTTTTAGGATGTAGGCGCTCACTAAAACGGGATTTTGCTAAATTCAACCCCTAAGGGGCAAAACGGGGTACACGCGTACGAAGTCCCGGGCGATAGCGAAGTTTGTGATAAAAGTAATATTTTACTGACTAAAAATAATAATAATGTTACATTAATTTCTTTAGAAAGCTTCATATCTGGTAGCTTCTGAGCTAAATGCAGCTTGACAGGTTATAAATTCCAGATTTATAACCAGGTAAGTAATAAAATGTATGAGCAATCTTAATAGTTTGATTTACAACACAACCTAATAATACTTACTTGTAACCATGCATCTTCACCATTTTCCAAAATATGCATACTATAAATCAGTAAACCGCCCACATTTTTGGTATCCATCGGTGTCTCTTGGTGAAAGAGGAGATATTTTATATCCCTGCGTAATTCCTCAAACAATGAATCCATGTAGCCGGGCCTTACATGCTGCATTATGTGAAAAGCTAGCCTCAGGGTACGCTGGGTTACTTCAAATAACTCATTTTTCTGTGTTGGTGCCAAATTTCTTTCACTGTAATAATAGATATTGTTAGTGTATTTAACATAATTATTTTCTTTACTTAATAAATTCAATACACAAAGATGAGCTAAAGATTAATACAATACTGAAGCGGTTGTAATTAATTAAGGCTAGATTGGTAATCAAAGTTAGCATATTACCGGAGTGTATTGACACAACATCTCAGACTGCGTTTGAGAAATTTTGCTAGATCCAAATCGATCATTTTGAAGGCCCTACGGCCAGCAGGGAAGTTGGCTATGCAGCCCTCAATATCAAATGTGGCATCGTAATATTCTTGAAACTCTCTGTACTCCTGTGTAATGATATAACTTAAAACTATTGCCAATTTTTCAGAAAATGGGTCTTGGAGAGTTTGAGATTTTGTGATGGACCTGCAAAATATAAGCCCATTTTAAATAAACTATGTTCCCTTAAAATAATGCTGAATTATTGTAAATAGAAAAAACATTGAAATAATAGTGGACCACTATGTTAGATTCATAATCATAATAAAATTCATATTATCTGTTATTCTTTATTGATTTACAAAAACAAGCAATGAACCAATTTGTGAAAGACTGTTTTTAATTTTTAGCAGAAAGGACAATGGGCAAATTGGTACCCGGCTCCAATAGATATGTGTCTAGTATCGTTTGAAAGGTCTTACCAAGATGAACAACTTTTACTATGACCACCAGCCTCAGATCTGGTTGTGTACGAAGATATACATACTTTTTTGCAGAATGGTACCCGGCTTCAATAGTTATGTTTGTAGTGTCATTTGAAAGGTCTTACCAAGACGAACAACATTTACTATGGCCACCAGCCTCAGATCTGGTTGCGTTCGAAGATAAAGATACTTTTTGTGTAACCTAAGTATCATACAGTATGAAGGGGGACGCGCTCGGGGCAGGGCACTGACGATAATAATATGGTCGGACGCGGTGAGGAAGACGGTGGGCGGGAGTTTGCATCGTGCGGTCCACACAGCTTATGACCGCAGCCTGTGGAGGAACACTATCTGTGGTCACGATCCTGGGACCGAGGAAGAAGAAGAAGAAGTATCATACGTGTCCATCGTATGGTACTTAGGTTATGCGAGGCAGGAAGGGTTTACTGCTCCAGCATCCTTCCTTAACTCTATAATTATTGATGGGGATAATTGTGAAATAAATATTTTTATTTAAAGAAGTACTACCCCCTTATTAATAAAAAGTTACACCTAGGAAGAACCTTGGATTGACACCAAATGACAATTAAGCCAGAGTTCGACTAGGGTGTAACTTTTATTAATAAAGGGGTTAAAGTTTTATTACTTCTTAAGGGTTTTATTATGGGTTGCTAAAGCGAATTAACCCACAAGACCCAATAAGTCCACCCACAAGATGGACCGACGACCTCATAAAGGTAGCGGGAAGGCGCTGGATGCAGGCCGCCACCAACCGGCCATTGTGGAAATCATTGGGGGAGGCCTATGTTCAAATGGACGTCCTATGGCTAAAATTATCAAGATGATGATGATGAAAGCGAATAAAGGGCTAATAGCTTGGGTAGTTCATCGTAGATATAATCCTTTCCTTTTCAATGCTTCTTTTAGTTATATTAATAGATTGTAGTCATAATACATACTCGTATACATGGATGATTGTGTTATACTTTCATTATAATACTTAGTGGAATTACTGCTTTCAAAACGTGAATTAGAACTGGCCCCATAGCAGACATTTTCCTACATCTAAAGGCCTTTTAAAATATATATTGGTTATGGCTATTGGAGCGGGTACCACTTTCCATACATTTTTGCCCATCATCCTTTGTAGTTTCCCAAAATTATAAATATTCTACTATCCCTAAGCTAAGTACACATTGTTTAGTTCATTTTATAAATGGCAGGTGCATAAATAGCACTTACCTTATTATAAAAGATTTAATTGGATGTTTTATTTCGGCTTCCACAAATACTATTGCCAAAAATCTCAACAGGTTATTGTCCACGGCCTCAAGATTGGCGTCTAAGAGACTTCTCACCACACCAAACTGTTCTTCCGAAGTTTTTGAATCAATAAACTTCTTTACTAAATCATGGTCAGGCTCTGAAAAAAGATAGTACTTCTTAAGTACAATATAAATTGAGTACCTACATAAGCCATAAGATAATTTTCTCAAGTTATACAATTAAATTATGATATAATAAATAAAATAAATATTCTTGGACATTCAACACTGCTCCATCAAGATCAAGTCCCAAACTCAGCACTATGGGTACCAGACAATGGATATAAAAATTATTAAAGATAAAAATCACTCAGCCCAATACAAATAATCATGTTCATGTACACAAATGTTTGCAATGCGGGAATGGAACCCGCGAACTCTGGTATAGTAGTCCGTTACGAACCACAACACCAAAAGGCCAATTTTATTATTATTATTCTATCTAATGGCTTCAATGGTGCGAATTTGAAGCACACTGGTTTTGCCAATGTCGAGTATTTAGAGAGACACGATATTGTACAATGTACATAAGTAAACTAGAACAAAATAACATTTTTAAAAGTTTTTAGTATGTTTTAATCTAAGATCACTAACCTGTGTTTACATGGTAGGAAAGTTCTATAGGGCCAAACTTAATGGAGCTTATGTTTTTATTATTACTAGGATTTATTCGGAGCATTAAACCATTCATGTTTTGTAATTTTGTTGCAGGTTTTATTAAATTTTCATGGAATGGTTTACAATCAACAAGTACACATGCAGCTCCGAAAAATCAATACGATCTGACAGTTCTGACATTGACAGATTACAGAACTGACAGTGACAGTGAGTTTTATACTTTTTTTTCTCATCGCTCTTGAAAATTGCGTTTCGCCATGACAGACATGAAAAAAAATTTTTTTGGACGCGTAAAATCTGTTTAAGAAGTCGCATTATTCATGAAAAAATTTCTTCATGATCATTATTCTGTTTGATTTTTGTCTGTTCACTTGCATCCTAAAATATTTTTTGGTTTACATTACCGGTACAACCACAGTAAGGTACAACACTATTTTATTTAGCGGCACTTTTCAAAAAACTTTTTATAGTGCATGGCTACCGTGGCATGGCTCTCGCCTACGCGACTGCTCTTGCCTCTTGCAGATTGCGCTTCGCAACAATAATTTCTCACTACCATATACTGCGACACTGCAGAGCTATTTCAGTGGCATAGTTATCAGCTGGTAACCATGTTCGCACTACGAATAGTAAGTAGTGCAGTAAAAGACAATGCCGGAAATCTTTTTTTTTTCGCGCGGCCATCGACCAAACTTTGTTTTTTGATTACAAAATCCCAACTAATATTATAAATGCGAAAGTAACTCTGTCTGTCTGTCTGTCTGTTACGCTTTCCCGCTTAAACCTCGCAACCGATTTTGATGAAATTTGGCATAGAGATAGTTTGAGTCCCGGGAAAGAACATAGGATAGTTTTTATCCCGGTTTTTGAAACAAGGACGCGCGCGATAAAGTTTTTCTGTGACAGACAAAATTCCACGCGGGCGAAGCCGCGGGCGGAAAGCTAGTAGTGTAATAAACCAAACTTACTATGACACGTATACCTCTAAACTCAGTCTGAACTGAGTTACGAGCATTAGAAGTTTGTTGATTTTCATACTAGATTTGCTTTTTGCGCGCAAAGTTTTGTAAGAAATTGCAACAAAATAGTGAGATTGTATGTGTAAACAAACAATACCATCCATTAAAGGCTCCAGACATCAGTATGGAGCAGAATCAGCGCAATAAAAAAATAGCGCAATATTTTGTTGCAATTTCTTACAAAACTTGCACACAAAAAGCAAATATAGTATGAAAATCATCAAACTTCTAATGCTCGTAACTCAGTTCAGACTGAGTTTAGAGGTATACATGCCATAGTAAGTTTGGTTTATTACACTATTTTGTAATCAAAAAACAAAGTTTGGTCGATGGCCGCGCGAAAAAAAAAAGACGCCACTTTCCATACAAAATCTGGCATTGCCATTTAGTGGAGCGGCGAGGCTGGACACGTTTAGAATATTATTAGTCAGTTACTAAATCGTTTATTTGAGGCAATCCATTTTTGTCTATTTTGTCCCTGCTCACTTGCTCACCGGCTAGGTACGAGTCCCTTAGGTTTAGTCGAGTTCATAAAAAATCTCTAAATTAATTACTCGACAAAAGAACGAACGATTTTTGGTCAATTAACGAGTAGTTTAGATAATAATTGCCACGAGTGTGAACTGAACACAAGAATTTAGTTATTGATTTTTTTAAGCTAAGTATATTGTCTAACGACTCGAACACATAGTTTTTTGTTTTATAACATTTTTTTAATTTATCTAAAAACTAAATATAATGATAATCTCTAGCTAATAAATATTAAAAAAAAAACAAAATAATTGTCAGGAATTCGTTCAACATGGGTTTTAAAATAGTAGAAGTAACGCAATTAAAAATTATTTATACCTAGTTACCTACTTACAAACACTGATACGTGATTATCTACTATCATTATATCTATAAAAACAAACGTTCAAAATATACCTAATCATTCCTATTTGGCTTGTAACTTAATCCGTTAAATTGCATTTCATTAATTTACTAAAATATAAAATTATGGGTTAGCTTTTGTATGGACATCCGTCACTAACCTGATTTTTCATAGTACATGAGACGTACTACACGATTAGGGTTATCCACAACCGGGTTTTGGTTTCCACCACTACTAGGATTCATCATGTTTTACAATTATTTCACGAATTATTAACCGATTGCCATTTAATATGAAATCCAACAAGTAGGACTGAAAAATCGATACCCCATTTTTTTTCTGGCTCTCACGGGTTGCGTTTCGCCAGTCAGAATTGCAAGGACGATACAAACAAGCTATTTGTTGTTGCATATTGTAAAATGCATTTATTTAACTGATTAAGGCAAAAAATTATGTGTCTATTAACTATTATACGTTAGTTAATCGATGGAAAAACAATACTTTTGGTTCACAGTTACGGCACGTATTTATGGCGGCACTTTTTAAAAAACTTTGTACATTTAGCTTGCTCTCATTAAAAACTAAAACTCATTAAAACTCATTTATTTCTGTAAATAGGCTTAAAAAAAGCACTTTTACACGTCCCAGTATTAACCCTACCACTGCTTCAGGACAATAAATGGGCAAGTGCTGAGAAGAAGCAGCGCAAGAAACTCAGTCACTATTGTCAGCCTCTTTTTTTTCAAAGGTTTACATGCTTTAAAATGTACAAAGTTATAAATATTTATGCGAGCTAGGCAGTAACGTATCCCAAACATTTTTATCTTTTAAATAATCATCGACTTTATAGTAGCCCTTTTTCATTAAGGTATTTTTAATATGTGCTTTGAATTTATGAATGGGTAGTTCTACAACAGTTTGTGGTAATTTATTAAAGAATTTAATACATTTTCCCATAAATGAATTACCAATCTTATGCAATCTGAAATTTGGAACGGCAAGTTTATTTTTGTTTCTTGTATTAAAGTTATGCAAATCGCTCTTTTTCGTGAATTGCTCTATATATTTGCGGACATATAAAAGGTTTTCATAAATGAACTGCGAAGCTACTGTCAGTATGTTAAGTTTTGCGGATTGCGTTTCGCTATGATTGCCAATTTTTTTAATGGCAACTCGCGCTTTTTGCGAATTTGCAGAGTCATTTAGAACGAGGAAACGGGGAAAATTAAATGGTTTTTCCAACGCAAGGGGTAAAAAGTAGGGATTAAGTAACAACCTCCCTAGACAAGTGGAAAAACGTGACAGTCGTAATTTCGATTCCTTCGCTCCGCTGTTTTTTGTAAGCTGGTAGGCGGATTCCGAAATCACAACTGTTGTTAAAATTTGCCTCTTCTTTAGGGGAGCATGAGAGTAGGTGTGTGTTTGAAAAGAAAAATAAAACCGTAATTTTTTTTTAAATTGCTGGACACTATGGCTGAGTACTTACTTTTATTAATGAAACATTACATTCTGAAGTTAAAGTAAATCTGTTGTAATCGCTACTTAATTATGTAGCTACGCATTTTTTAAATTTTAATGAATTAAGGGCTAATTAGCTTTTTATAGACATCAGTCACTAACCTGATTTTTCATAGTAGATGAGACATACACGAGTAGGATCAACCGCAACCGTGTTTTGGTTTCCACCACTACTAGGATTCGTCATGTTTTACAATTGTAACTAAGTGTCATTTTTAAGAAATTCAAAAACATACTAATGTAATATTAAATTCTATCTACTAAATTTGACATTGTAAATTATTATTGTGACATTTAATTTAATTCTTTTGTATAAATTCTTGAATCACGAAAAATTGATTCTGTTGCATGCCGATATGGTATGATGTAGCTGAACAATATATTTTTTTATGTGACCTATAATATGTACCTACATTATGCAATAAATGATTTAAAAAAAAAAAAAAAAAAAAAAAAAGTAGGACTGAAAAATCCTAAAAAATCAATACACTGCTTTTTTTTCTTTATGGCTATCGCAGGTTATATTGGAAATGGCCAAAACAGAGGTAGCTAGTTTTTTCTGAATTGAATAAAATTACAATTTTTAGTAAGTCGTAGGTATATTATGTTGCTAAATAAAATTAATATAATCTCGTTTGTTAGTGATTTTTCCTTAATTTCTAACGGGTTAACGTAAAATCTGTAGATTGGCTGTATGGCATATTGCCTTTGCTTAAAAAGTAAAGTGGACTAAAATATAAAATGGCGCGGCGATCTTTCGCGGGAAGACCAATGGACGAGCTTTGTTATAAGAGTGTTTTTATTAAAGTTGTTCTTAATTATTGTGATTGATGGTGAAATAAAGTAATGCAATATTCAGATGAAAGAAGAGAAATGAGTTTATGAGAAATATTCCCAGGTAAGTAAATCACATTTTGAACAATAACTGTGGCTGGACTACCCTCGCATTTCAATGAAATAATAACGTTAAAGTTTTAACAGTGTGTTAGGTCGATTAATTTTAAAATTAGTGAAAATGACAATTATTTAAAAGCGTATTAAGACTAACACCAAGTCTAGACTGTGTGTGAGTGTTGGCTGACAAAGGTGAGTGAGTTTCTTCCGCCACTTCTTCTCAGCAACAGCCTATATGTTATTCCGAAGTGGTGGTTGGGCAAGCTATATTTGGGACGTGTTTAAGTGCCCTGGAAAGGCCTATGACAATGTACTGAATAAACTATTTGAATTTGAACGAGAAGAAGAGCAAGTTCATTGGCAACATAATGATAAAGTTGGTAAGTATAATGTTTACTTTTATTACTTGTACTTTGTGCCAGTGGACTAGCAATCTTTTGGAATTAATATTATGATAAAAATCTATTGAAAGAGAGATTGAACTGTGTCATTTACGTACGCCACTGGTGCAATAGCATTTTATCCTGGACGTACACAGGACTTTTTTGGCCGGGGTTATAGGCTGGGTTGCACCACCTAACATTAACCGTAACTATAACCAGTGTTTTTTGTGTGGACTTTGACAAAGTTATTTTTGATGTGTGATATTAAAGTAAGATGGTGCAACCCAGTCTTAGAACAATAAAAAAAAAAGCAAGAATTTCAATATTTTTCTTTATTTTATTTTGTAAATTCATCAATTTCGTTTATTTACATCTCATTCGTACACTTAAATAAATATATCTAAAACAAACAATAAATTACGGGTCTATTATCACACTACGTTTACGACTGGTCAGTCTTGTCGGTTTCCTGTGCTTCTGCGACGACCGCGGTGGGTTTCTCTGGGGCGGGCTCTTCGAGCTTGCCGTCTGCCGCCTTGAGGGCTACCCCGCTGTCGCTGCTGATGTGCTTGTCGTTATTATCGCCTGCGAAAACATGTTTGTGTTATTAAGGCGATAGGTGAGGCAAAACTGCAAAATAGACCTCTCTTTGAATCCCTACTCCTCCTAAATGGATGATCCAAACAAGAAAAAAAAATATGTGTGAGATGTATAATATCTTAAACTAAAAAATTGTTGTTCGTTTTTTTTGTTACAACTATTAGTTTTGACAGAAAAAATTCTTAACTTTCTTCTAATTTCACCTAAGAAATTTCCTACTCCTCCTAAACGGCTGAAGCGATTTTAATGATTCTTTCACCAAATGATAGAGAATTTAATTATCTAAAAAATTGTTGTTCATTTTTTTTCAAAAATAATGTATTACGTGTCATACATTCAAAATACCCTGTAATTTACTACCCTCATATTGTCAAAATGTTACATTGTAGTGGCGTTACCTCGACACACAGTATTCGTATTCGTACTTGACATGTAACTCATATAAAAATGTCGCTCAATCCGTGTTTATTTATTTTAGTTGAAATGGAACGCAAAAATCTAAAATCTTATTTTTCTCTCGATTTTACCAAAAAATAATAACGGAGAAAGTAAAGTCTTAAATTGTATTCGATGATCAAAAATATTTTATTCAATGTTGACTGATATTTGACCAATATTTTGAATACCTGCAGACAGATATTTACATTTAGGTAGGTACTCGTACACACACTTAAAAACTGTTTAGAAGCTCACTTAGACACACGAATATCGTCAGCCTAACTTTCAAACTGCTTAGGTAGTATGTCCCTTTTTGCAAACTTTACAGTAGGAAATAACTGTTTATTTTTCATAGTTATGGTACTAATTAAAGTATAATGATGTCTAATTGAAATATAATCATTTATTTCAATTTTGTTTCACTTTGAAAATATGCTGACGATAATAATTATTATTTTGTATAATGAATTATTTTCTTTTTTTAAATTCTGTTTTGAAACACAAAATAAGCATCGCAATTTTTTTCGATCTGCGTAAATTAAAATCGAGTTAACATTCCCGTAGGCAGTTATGTTAGAATTGGCAGCGCTTCGCATCTGTATTCTGAGCGCACTTTGGTATCGGGCAGAAGCACGGGCGCGCGGCGGGAGGCGCGTTGTCTCGCTCTAATGCTCAAGGTCGTTCGGCCATGTAATCGCCTTAAAGCGAAGGCTTATTTTTGTGGAGATTGCAACTCTACCGTTAATTGCGATTTTCGTTGCGATACGTATAAGTAAGTGTTTCCTTATACAAACAGTGGCAAATTCATCTAAAAGTGATATTGTTGGTTCGTTAAAAGCACAATTTGCAATGAGGGTTTTCGCGAATGAAAAATCCGCCAGATGGCAATACGTAGACGCGAGGTCCAAATGCTGCATGATTGGGTATTTTTGACATGATATTGACAGAATGTCAATATCCACCAATCACGCAGCAGTCAGACCCCACATCCACGTCCTGCCATCTAGCGGATCTTTCATTCGCGAAAACCCTCATTGCGTTTTTGATAAAAAAAAAACTTTAAGAAATTATTAAATAAATTTAAAAACGTGTTAGCAATAGTTATGAAGGTAAAGGTAAATAAAGGAAATATATACATAGATGTAAGTACATACTTTAAATAAAAATAGATTGACCTAATATTGGAGGAATCGAAAATATGAAAAAAAAAGTTGAAGAATGTTAATAACGGTCTCAACCTCATAACTTCATTCTGGTTTTGGGTGTTAGTTTAAAAACATGTTTTTAGTCCACAATCAAACGTTAGGCAACACGTAACGGTTGGTTAGTGACGAGCTATTTATACGAGTAAGGGCTGATTTTTCAATCGTCGGATAACTTTTAACTGAAGATTAAGTTTGGCACATTGACAGTTTCAGCATGAGAAATATGTCAAATGAAAAGTTTATTCTTCAGCTAAAAGATGTCTGACGATTGAAAAATCAGCCCTAACTTGTTTGAATAGGTACCTGAATAAGAAATAAGTGTACCTACGCTATCCAAAACCTAGTTCTACACCTACTAAGACAAGGACTCTATTTTGTCATTTATTTAGTTAAAATTTAGCAAATGAGCATAAACAGAGGTGGAATTGTGTAAAGCAATCGTAATCATTTGACAGTTCATAACGTACGATAAAGTCAGTTAAACAAAGCATTTGACATAATAATCGTACGTTATGAACTGTCAAATGATTACGATTGCTTTACACAATTCCACCTCAGATCGATCCTAACTACTGTCCTTTCATACTAGTTAGAAAGTTTAAGCCGAACAAGCTGCTTCTACTTCACGGCCTTCTCTATTCCTCAAACAAACTTTCCGAGTTAAGTATTTGGAAGTGGCAATAAGTCCGCCTAAATTCCGTCACTTCAACTACTAGCAGTTTTTTAAGTGTACTTTACTAGTACAAAAACCTACTCTATATTTTACCTTACACGGTTTCTTTCTTTCAATTCTGCATTTCTCTACTAATGACTTGTAAAACTAGTATCCTCGTTATACAATCCTTAAATGTTATTTGATTGCATGTTTACTTTGGATTTGATTTAAAAAACGTGCGTGTTCCTCAAGTGAATCAATGGTAACAATACAAAGACGAGTCAAATTATGCTTACTAAGACCTATAATAATCCTTCGACCTTGACCTACAGCAATATACATGAATAACAAGTACCTATACCTATGTAATTTTTAACCTCTACATCTACACGCATCTGATATGAACCCATAAGTATTATTACAATGAAACTACAATACAAAATGCCAATGTTTTCTTCTGCCTTGTTCGATTCGAGTCGTGCCTTTTTTTATAGCACGTAAGGATTAGATATGTTAGAGGGTATCCTTCCGTTTGGCCAAATTACTTTTCGCCAAATTTCACTTCGCAAACAACTTATCGCCAAAGTTTCATTTCCCAAATAAACTTTTAGCAACTGTACTTTTCGCAACTAATTCATTTGGTCAAATTAACATTTGGCCAAATTTTACTTGGCAAATGTTTATATAGCAAATGTTTTATTTTGCCAAATATTATATCCCAAATAATTTGCTTGATCAAATTGACACTTCACATACTTACGAGTACCCACCGTTACCCACAAATCAAAGCATAAGGCACATGGTCATGGTTTTCACAATAATTTTATGTAAAACAGAGAGATTGCAGAAAATAGTATGGTTGCAAAAAGTAGGTATTGTAGAAAATAGTAGGTTAGGTTAGGTTAGAAAAGTGACCCTTAATGCGCGAAGGCGAGCGAAGCGTGCCGCGGCAGCGGCCGCCGAGCGCTAGAATCATCTCTATTGTTAATGAATCATTTGGAAATTTCGATAAAAAGAATGAAAATATGAAAACTTATTTATAAAAAAAAATATATTAACTACCCACTAAACAAAATAATAACTACAAGCTAATTTGTATTCCATTCTATGCACCAATTTTGATTGTTTGTTTGACTCTGACAGTGGTTACGTTACGTGTACGAATGGCCCTGTATTACTCGTTGGTGGTAGTCGTGTAAACTTACTTTTTTGAATCTATAACAACATAGAAAACGCAACAAAACACTTCAATAGAAGCTGATACCACAGAATAATAATAATACTACGTACTGTTAAAATTAAAAACACATCTGCTAGTTGGTGGTACATTTAACCCTCGAACAATGACAAAGCTGCACACAACGATGGTGTTTAGAACAGTGACAACAACACAAAGCGATCAACACTGCTACAATAACACAGGAGGCCCAGCAGTTGCTCACACACGAAGCTCATCAGCTACCTGTATGTTGGTGCCGACCGTGTTGATGGCGCTGTTGACGGCGGTGGACACGCTGCTGGCGGTGCCGTTGACGGCGGCCGCGATGGTACCTATGAGACCGTTCACGAATGTGCTCCAAGCCGTGATTGTCGCGGCCCCTAATGCACCGTGAAAATGTAGAGATAGAATGTAGAGGTGTAGGTGCAAAGAATATACATACTAGTATAAATAAATGTACTTTGATTGTCAGTTTAGATTCATAGGATTAGAATTTAGTATAAGGAAACGTTTATTATAGTAGGACTTATTGAAATTAAATTTAAAAAATGTGTAATGAACTGCTAAAGGTACCTATGATAGGTGGTGTTAATTGCCGATTTAAGTTGTCTGATATTTCCTTACTTACTTACTACATTATTATAAAAACCCTGGCATAGAGGCGCTTCAATTGCATTTGATAGTGCAACACTGAGTACAGTCGTACATGTGTTAAATTAATAGGCTAAATTTATGTACCAGGATTCAGGATTACGGGCTAATTTGATATTTTCATAAATTAACGAAAAATATTATTAAAGGAAACCTGGTTTAAATAAATTAAATGAAACCATCAATCGAGCTAGTAGGATTTATTTTATTATTCATCAATAATTAAATTCAGAACTTGAATATTCAACTGCAATGTCTGCTCATGAACGCTTCAAACTCGGTACTTCTTTCCCAATTCCATAAAATTCAAAGCTTAGAAAGTGACAAAAAACATTAAAATAGGTAGTTGAAACAGACTACAGCTAATTTTCATAGTGGACTGTACTATACGATAAACATGTCAGTCAATTTGACAACCTTTGTCGGAAACATTATTCAATGAAAATATTGTCCGAATCCTTAGTATTTCTCTTCGACAAATACATTAACACATCGTGAACCACTTTTCTTTCACGATTATAAAAATATTTTAGCAATTTAATTCACAAAATCAATTGCAAACATTTAAAATAAAGTTTGTTTACACTTTGACAACAATAGACTGACATGCAAGGTGACATGTCAATGAAGTTTTCAGTTACTGTTGCCATTAAAAGAAATTAGTACCATTAGTTTTCCGCAACATGGCGAGGGTTTTTATGTTCCTGGTCAGGCTATAGCAACGTTTTTATAACCAAAACCTGGCTAATCGTAGAAAATGTAAAAAATTTCTTAATATAAAACGGGAAGAATTTATTGATTAATAATAATAGTAAAGTTGGTAGTTAAATTTTCAATTAAGATCGGTATAAATAAGTGTTGCATAGACATTCGTTCGTTCGTTCGTTTCAGCCGAAAGACGTCCACTGCTGGACAAAGGCGTCCCCCAAGGATTGCATAGACATACTCGTACAATAAATACTTAGTAAAAGTTGCGAAATAAATAAATAATTATAATCTTAATTTCATACCTGCATTGCCGCCGTAGCCGTAGCCAGGGTAGAAACCACCCTTAACATCTCCCTTTTCATTTTCTGGCTCCTTCTCTGTTTCTCTTGGCTTCTCCGGGTTGGTTATGCTGGCTTGCAGCTTCTGCACTGCTCCAGAGATGCCTTTTACGATCGGGTTGTTCTGGATGATGCTCTGGATTGGACCGTTGTTGTTCGAAGGCTGTTCAGGTTTGACTTCTTCTACCACAGGCGCTTTAGCAGGCTGCACGTCGGACTCGGGCTTGGTTTCCACAGGCACGACGTTGCTGCCCTCTGCAGCGGGTTGAACGGGGTCAGCGGGTTTTGCCGGCTGAGCCTGGGCTGGCTGCTGAGCACCTGGCTTGTTCGGCTGAATCAAATTTACTACTCCTTGTACGAAAGGAAGATTCTGGATTGCTTGTGTGATAGGACGATTTGGCGTACCATTTGATCCTTGAGCAGCTTGATTCTGAGTAGGTTTCAGAATGTTCTGGATGGATGACTGAATGCCTTGCCATAAACTCGGTCTTGAAGTGCTAGCATCATCAGATTGAGTCCCAGCGGGCTGTGGGTTTAAAATGTTCTGGATACCATTGTTCAGACCTTGTAGGAGACCTGGATTAGATGCAGTATTGTTGGGAGATTGATTTACGTAGTTTTGGAATGCGTGGGTTACATTATTGAATCCTTGTGATATCGTCTGTTGGAACAGTTGCAGGTATTGAACAAATAGGTTATTGGGAGCGGTCGGAGCCGGCGAAGTAGGGTTTTCGTTCTCGGCCTTCAGTAATGCAAATACCTGTACCCCCTCAGACAAAGCCTTGACACCAGTTTGGAAGTTGTCTTCTAAGATCTTAAGTTGAGACTCAACGCTTTCAATTTCAGGTTTAGGGACATCGTTTCCTGCTGCTTGAGATTGGTTAGAGCCGACACGGTTCTGCCAGAAGCTTTGAATAGTTTCATTAAGTTTAGAAATTTGCTCTTTGAAACTTTCCTGCAGATTCTGAATACTGGCTTGAATGGCACTGAGCTGCTCACTGTTAGCGATCCAGTTCTGAATCCCTTGGGTGACGCCTTGGAACCCTTGTTTTAGCGCATTCTGGGTATCGACGACAGTTTGTTTGACAGAAGTCACGATTTGCTGCTCGTCATCGTAGTGCACAGCGTTTTGCGTCTCGTGTTCCTGACGCTGGGGTTCCCCAGGGTTCTTTAAGTCAACTACCCTCCTCACAATAGGGGTCACTTCGTTATCATCTGTAGGGTTCGCATCGCTCTCAACGATAACCGACACAGGGATGCTATCGACCGCTTTCACTCGTAGGTTGTTTTCGACGTCCTGGACCGTGTTGGCTGCATCGATGAGCTCCTGTTCGCTGGAGGCGTTTTCAGCTGGGATGACATCCTTGTTAGTTTCTTCGGGGATCGGGAGTTTCTTTTCTAGTTCAGGCACGGCCGGCCCGTGTATGGTGGCGGCGCGCGCATTGATTACGAACAGAACGAATAGGAAAAATGCGTGCAGCCTCATGACGGGTTAGCGCGAGCACTGGCGGCCGGGAGGGGTGACGCGCTTTATACGGCCGGTCTAACGGTCCGCATCTCCGCGCATACGTGTTTACGCTTTCCGTGCGCCCGCGCCGTGTTAAACGTTTCTGTCATTATTTGTATTTAAATTACACATAGATTGACTGGGAGTCCATAATAAGATGTGATGTTTATTATCAAACAGATTTTGAGCGCACGTTAGTAGTATGACATGACTGGTAAAGGTAACGTTAACCTTTCTAGAGATCAATTTGTGTACATACTTAGATGTCGGAAATGCACCGTTTGTTTAGTTACGGGAAACGTACCTATTAGGTATTTTAAAATGTGGTTTGTCATAAAACTGCAACTAAGTTAATAATTAACTCGTGTTCAAATTATTCACAAAAATGGCAATAAGTGTGTGCAATGACTAAGTCTATGAAATTCGTTATTTGAGATGTTCCTTACGAAACAAACCTATAATAAAGTAATTTTACTACACGAATGGTAGTATTACCATATTATTATGTGGTAGTACTAGTACAGCGGTTACGTGGATGATTTAACATTAATGTCAGATTTTAGCTACATAGGTTATTATTAGAAATCTTAGTTTAGTTTATATACCTAGTTAAGTATCCGGTATAAAACGCGACAAAACGGTAATTAAAATCAGGAATACATGCAAGTGTTTCGTTGGTTGTATTTCAATCTAGAATAAATACCTACTCATGAAGTTCCATGACTGTTTCTTAGGAAGTTGTTCTAGAGTTAGAGACCTACTTGATTTGTCTTCTTGTTATGCATTGCATTAAACGGGACAGTGCCATTTTTATTATCATTTTGTACAACTTTTAATTTAAGATAATAATATAACATACGAGTAAATTGTATGGGGCATCATCCACGCAAATCTACGATAAAATAAAATATGTTGTCATTGTCTATCGTTTGTAATCCGCGTTGCTCAGAGACAAACCCTTTAAAACGTCTAGCTCTAAACAGTGCTTCTCCGACTAACTGCTGACGTGACCACCATACAAAACTACGTGACCATCGGATGTAACTTGTGAACTCAATACCTTAACAATTTAGAACACCATTTATTTTTAGACCTAACTAGGTCTTGACTATCTTTCACTTCAACTTTCAGTTGCTGAAAGTCAAACCTAAAGTTTGCAAAAAAATATAGGCACCGATCGTTAAATTTTGTGTAAAAATTTCCTTATTTGCATACATTTTCAGAAGTTACAAAATCTAACGAAATTTACTTTCCTCAGGTATAATTTTACCAAACTTCCAAGTGACATAACTGTTTAGAGTTCACTTTCGTTCAGGCGGCGTGCGAGCAGATTATCCGTCCTATGCTAATTCAGCGGGTCAAAGTGTCGAAGAAAGCGCATTGTTCTCCAACGAAAGTTCCCGCCAAAAGGATCGCGGTTGACAGATGATGGCAAAATGGCCGCGATGTCACATTTTCTTTTCTAACCCTTAACCACTGACGTGTCATTTTGTTACACTAACACTGACGTACGTACGGCATACGTACGTAACTTTGAAGACCTCCTAATGTATGAATAGAGCGTAACTTTGGTGAAATTTGAATTTAAATTATTCACACATGTTTATATTAAACAGAGATAGTAAAATAAATATAGTATCATTAATAGAATAGTATGATATTGGTAAAATCCTCCAGATGTAATAAAATTTAGACAGGCATTTTTTTTAATCAACACAAAAATATTCGATAACACTAGGAACTTCTATTTTGGCCATATTAAAGATTAATAACAGTTTTAATCAGGAAAAAATCTCAATAGCAATCATTCACAAATTAAGTCACTTTTTAATACAGTTCATTTAGGAAGGCTATTTTCTATAGTCTTTCTTTGTTTGATGACCTGGTCACCAGTTTGCCGTGCTTCAAACTAGCTAGGAAATATGAAAATATGGTATACAATCTTCAGAAGAAGTCAAATCCAAAGCCACGAACTAAAGCTCCTTCACCATCATAATGATTGTCCTCGAAAACCGCAACTAATATGAAAATTTTCATCCACTGGATTTTTTTGCTAATTTCTTCGTCATTTGTAATAATTTTTGGCGTAAATGAGGTTTTTTATATATAGACGGCCAAGTAAATAAATTAGACTGCTAACAATTAAATTTTTCTATGGACCAACATACAAAAGCGATGTTGAAAAAGTTACACTAACACTGACGTTACGTACCACATACGTCGGGTGGTCTAGCTCTCCTACTTAGGGACGTGCTACCTATCTATTTTCTCCCGTCGCACACGCATCTCTGGCCACTAGGAAACTACCAAAAAGGACACGCAAAAATTCCCGCACAAAATGAAGTTTTGAACGAAAAACCGTTTGACCGACGTACCACGTACGTACGTCAGTGGTTAAGGGCTAATGCTAAACGGCTGGACCATGCAGCCAGACATCAATAAAATTATTTCATACTAGTAAGACGACCTATAGCTTTCTTTTTTATAAAGTAGTTAACCACTAAGTTAGTTAAAACAATTTTTTTTTGTCCTAATCTGACTTCTGTCAAAATTGTCCCTATCCCATACACCCTTGCCATGTGCCCTCAAACTTTAGATTACTTAAAAGTACATTATACACAAATGACCAAAAGTTAATAGCCACATCATGTCATTGTATTGGAACGGTGTCATTTTCTTTTTTGAGAACGATTAATTAGTACTTTTCCTGTTATCATAATATCTCTCTGTGTGCACTTGTTATGTTAATTAAATGCTCGTACCTATTAATTTTCTCCAGATATTTATTCTCGGGGTCATTGACATAACCTAAACCAGATTTTTCTGTAGACCCCGATAAGTATAATTACCACGATTAATAAATTTATAGCAGGGTCGCTACTTTTTATCGGTAGGTAGAAATATTTTTTTACATTTGCATTTCTGTCTTTATAAGTTAATCTATCCCGCCCTGTACACATTCTCAGCTGTGTGCTACGCTTTATGCCCTAAAGCTTAGGGTAACGTAAACAGTCCAAAAAGCTCATCGATGGCATAAATTAACGTACGACCTCTTGTTCTTAGTTGGTATTACGATAGTTACACTCAATAACCGTTTGTCAGATGAGTCTTCTCGCCATTGCACGCCATCGAGGACTATGACTATGCTCATCTCCAACTACGACCATCAGCTATACATATTTATTCGGTCTGTTATTATGTGTGTTGGTCTAGAAGGGACTATGTACTTGAATTTTTTGACAAACATTTTACTGTTTACATTTTTTTGTTATAATCCCCAGCTCTAGATCACAGATATTCTTACATCCAAGAACGTTGTTCAAAGGATACAAGAAGACGTCATGTTATCTATTTTTTATCCTCTCACGAAGTTAAGGCAGCCTTTAAAATATCGATAGTAGCCTTTGCCACAGCCCTATTGCGCGGTAGCAGGCTTGTTTACGAGCTTACGAGCTTTTTATTAGATGCAAATATTTGATCAGCCGATGGCGGGTATTTCCAAACGGAAGACATGGGACACCGTTATCACGGGATCCACGAGGCCTATTATAAATTACCTTATCTTTTGCGTAGGAAGAAAATAGTAAAATGAGAAGTTTTCGTCATGACCGGTTTTCTTTTATAATTTGCGGGTCATGAATTCTTGAATCATCGCCCACGTAATTTTTCTGTTGAACTAAAGCTTAATGTTTGAAATGAAAAAAATACAAAATAAGTAGAGTTAGTAAATTGGTAATTTCTTGATAATGGATATTAAACAAACTTCAAGGGTTAATTAATAATATACTTTTGTGGTACCTAAGTACGTCCCTAATTCCATATGCTAGAATCTGCTAGATAATTACTTGTGCTTATACTAGCATTTACCCCAACACGCAATTCTGTAGTTGACTGTACTTAGTCCGGTACGCGAACCGCCTGATGCCAGGCATCCGACGGATATTAGATTTCACACCACACAGCAGGCTGTACGGCTAATTTGTGTGTGGTATCAGGATACCACACACAAATTAGCCGTACAGAGGAAAGCATTCGTACAAAGTGGTATCACTGTGCTACCAATGTCTAGGCTTTTCTGTTTAGATGGTTTCTAGGTAGTTGAATCCAGTAGACAGGTCTATAGGCATACCTACCTACTATTTTAACATTCAGAAACATTTCTCTCATTTCTGCAGTCGGGTAACTACTGAAGCTACATCAAACATTTCCATCCGTCCCAGTAATTACTTGCAAACAAATAAAGTGTAACAGGAAGGCTGGCCAAACTGTTTTCCTGGCCAGAGTCCACACCACACACCTGTCTGACAGGTTCGAGGTGCGAGTGCCTTGCCCTGTGCAGTACCGTTACCTCTGATGCTACATTTTGGACGGCTTTTTTAGCTGTCACCGCTTTTTATACACCAAACGCCGGCGCTAACGTGTGACGTGACGAATTGGGAAGCGCTGAAAGCGCTGGATGGTAATGATGGCTTTCCAGAACAATCCTCACATCTTGATACAAACTTAGAATTTGTTTAAAAATAAGATCGGTTGGATTCAGAGGTTACGTTAAGGCAGTCCAATTAGCTATGTTAGACACATAGCGGTTATTAAAGTTTGAGGCCCACTTATTCTGATGTCAAAGTCCTCACCTTCAACTTCCTTGGTACATTTTCCTTTAGGTATAACGGAAGATACTCTCAATCGTAAGTAGGTAGTTGATACCACCAGTCCTTTTACATAGTAGATGCTTTTTGAGCAGTCAGAACGACTCTACAATAGATTTATGTATCAAAGGGAATATTAGACTTTCATCAAATTGAAAACTAACTCGATTTTCAGTGTTCATTGTTTTTTACATTAAACATCATTGTTCACTTGAGAAAAAAGCTCATGAATACACTTGCAAGGCTTCTGTACCTAAATCTCTACTTTTCTCCTTTGATACTTCGTGATAGCTCTGCTCTATGCTGCGTAACCATCATCTCATCATTCGCCTACTTTTT